ACAGTCAAAATCGGTGTGTAAAGCTATATATTTCTAGCTGAACTTTCCTTGGTAGTTTAGACTGTATAATCCAGAGGTCTTTCAGGTTAATGCTGAAAGCCAATTAAATGACCATAATGTAACAGAATTAGTTGAAGCCTGTATGACAGTATTAAGGTGAAAGGGAAAAACACATCAGTAATTAGAAAAGGAAACCTTCAAAATGAAACACGACAGCATTGACGGGAAGTGTTAATTCTAAATCAGCTAACTTCAGGACAAGGTAGGCTAGAACAAATTAGGTTCCTTATCTTCTCAACTTACCTATAATAAAAAGTATCTTACATGAATCCAAACGAAAAAGAAATAATTGGGCAACAGTTTTCTTAAGTTATACTAGACTTAAGCAACAAATTTCTAACCTGATAAAGTTACTATTCGCATAAAACTAAATTACAATAATGATAGAATAACAATTTACATAAAAAATGGCTTCATAGTATATGAGACACAAGATAGTAATCACATCCTTATCATTTTCTTATTTTGGATACAGATGAATAGAGCTTACTCAGGATAAAATTAGTGGAGAAGATTTTGTTCTTCCTAGTCAGATTTTATACTTAATATTTTAATCTTAAATAAACTAATTTAAGAACATGATAAATGCAGCAAATAACACCTTTCACTTAATTATTACGAAGAGCTATTATTTCTTTCAAACTATAATAATTACTACCACCTGCATTTTACATATTGTTGAAGGCAAGGGCATCTAATTAACGTCCCCCACCCTATGCAGTTTCTGGGTGCTAACGGCCTGAGGGCGGTTTTCCTAGTGCAGCCTGATAAATGTCCCATGGGCTCTGACCTCCCAGGGCTGACTCCCAGCCCTCCACTAACAACCTGTGTGACCCTGCAAAAGGAAATTTAATGTCTTTGTGCCTCAGTTTCCTAATTTAGCAAATGGAACTGTTCACAGGTGGCTTGGAGGATTAGATTTTAAATCCAAGTATGATGCACGTAAAGCAGCAATGTCAATGGGGAAACTATGTTATGAAAATCTGTGAGGTATGGCTGTCACAAAGATAGGGGGACACCACTAGCATTCGGTGGGTGGGGCCCAAGGATGCAAATCACAGGACAGGCCCCCACGACCAAGAACTGTGGTGTGTCCGTTTTATATTATAAAAATAACATACATTTTATACAGTTTTCAAATCACCAAACTGTCCAGGAATGCAACTACCAAGATCTTAAGTTTGTTTTAGAACTTATTGGAAATTGGCCACGGTTTCAGAAAATCCTGTCGCCAACTGCGTGCTGGATCATCAGCACCACACGCTGTGACAGCCTGTGTTTGTGGAGGCTGCACTCACGGTGAGTGCACAGAGGCAGACACCGACTATCTTCTAAAGGAGACGTCCCGGATACTTACCTACTAGAATACAAGCCATGTCATTACAAATCACTTTATCCCTCCTTTATAACAAGCACAGTTAGACACTATAATTTTTTAAGTAGGTGCAAACAGGTTATATTATCCATGAAATTCATTTCAAGATGTTTTCTTGATATTATTTTTTTAATTGTTATAAATAGAAGGCATTGGTCTAATAAGGTTGAATGCCACTGACAAAAAGTGCCCACAGTGCCTGGTAAATAGACACTCAATAAATAACAGATATTAAAATAAGAATCGTATAATCATACTACTATATGTAATCAGTTGTGCTAAGTAGTTAAAATGCTCAAATAATTCAAACAAATTAGTTAACGATGTGCTTTAAAATTTCTAACATTCCAAGCTCCATATACGTGTAACTGGAAAAAAGGTCTTACAATTACAGAAGTATTAGCATGTATTTAAGAATATATTGAAGTATTTCATGTAAATATGTTAAAAGATTCTTTATGAACCTCGATTAAGTCAAAGTATATAATCTTCCCAAGTTTAAGCAGTGGTAAATTTAAGAATTCAAGAGAGAGGTTTTAAGAGAAAGAACCTAGTTCGAACTTTTATGAAGGAATTCTAGAGAAATCACATCATCGGCAGAGCTCTTCGCTGTTCGAATTGCGGGAGGTTTTGTGATTTGTTTTAACAATGTAGATTAGTCCCTTACAAGTGGCAGAAATTGGACAAATGCTACTACTGCAAAAGGAAGATGAAAACATGAAATTCAAGGAAAAGTCAGGGATAAGGCTTGCACAACCCTTACCTCTCCCATTCTTTCCAAAACGCTTTGCTAAAACATCAGAGGTTTTTGTTTTTGTAGCCTATGAAAATACTATTAGAACACACTAAACAAATTTGAGAAATTTTACTGAAATGGCCAGAAGGATATTTAATATCCTATCAAACTAAAAAATATCTTAAGAAACTCTTCAGTGAATAATCAATTACATGTCTCCATTACAAAAATCAAGTAGTCAGTCATGACCAAACTTAAGAAAAACAATAGTCTTTTACATCACAGGTGAAGAAGAAAAGGCAGAAAGAAACTGGTTCGAATGCTAAAAGGTGTAAGTAGCTGGTTGGTATTCTGGCCTATAAAAATCAGTATCTTAAATGCACAAAGATATTCTGATTCTGATTTAAGATGTTTTCAAAGTATTAAAAGTAACAACTGCTAGTTAGACATGAATTTGCCAGAAGTCAAACTACATTAAGGCAATACGTCATTTTTTAAGAAACACATTAATTCGGGTATTATAAGCTAATGAAAAAGTACATTATGGCAAACATTTCATAAAACATTCCATTTTTAATTGTTTTTTTACAACGGCATTTTATAGGTCTTATCCATTAGCACATACCAGTCGTTATATGGAAATACAAAAAGCATATAAACTTAAAACTGAATTTTTTTAAAGTTTACAATAATACTCAGTCATTTTATAATTTCGATGATTAAGGATATGAATATAAGTAATTACACTTAGGGTGGCTACTATTAGATTCCTAAATTAGTTAATCTTTCATTCCATTTATTCTACATTCTGAAATAACACCACAAATTATGGTTTTAAAAGTATGAGTAACATCTCAAACAAAATCTACTACAGTCTAAATAAAGAATTTAGTAATAATGTCTAATACACTTTATTAACCATTATCAGATCTAGCCTTGGAAAAGTTTATCTTGAGCATTATTCTATGAAGCAAAATTTATAGATACAAGGATTCTTTTTACTAAGTTTTTATATCACAATTTAACCTTTGGACCAAAGTAAGAATGACCGATCTGAAAAATCAGTATGGCTCAATATGTCATGGCTAAATGCGATAAGGCACAAAAATAGAAGACTTAATTTATAATTAGAGCGTTCAAAAAATTTCAAAGTCGATTTAAGTTTTTCAAAATGATGACAATTCTGTATGAGTTACTTAAAACATTAGAATCAATACAGTATTAATAATTTTGGATTTCTCTGAACTCAGACATTTTAGTTCACATTTAAAACATAACTTAATATGTCTAATCACCAATATGTTGTTAAAACATACTTCTGACCATCTTTTTCATATACATTCAATATTGTTCCCCAAATAATGTACTCAATCTGTTTACTTTAGCAATAACTTAAGTATCACGCTCTTCAGGATATAAATATCTAATAATTTAGAGTTCAATAGAGGCACGTTTATTATTTTTAAATTCCAAATATAAAACAAAACTAGATACCTCACAGTTTTTCCAAAGTTCCGAATCAGTCTTTCCACTGTTCTGTAGCTCTTGCATTAAAGAGGTTAGGACTTCAACTGTACCTTGAATTACAGATGATCTGGTCTTCCCTGAGAAAGAGGATACCCCATTTGTACTAAGGTGGGGACTACTTCTGTTGAAACATAAATAATTCAAATGGTTTTCTTCGTTCTGCCAAAGTGTTGAATAATTCAGCAGTTCAAGATTTAGCAGTGCAGTACAAAACCACTGACACCTAATCCTTAACAGCACCTCATTTGTAGAAAATCTGATCACAAATTTGTCCGTGAAAGAAAAATAACAGTAAAAAGACAGCACTTAAATTTGTAAAGATCACAACAGAAAGACCTTTTTCAGAAGATAGAGAGACCACTCAGAAGTACCAAGAGAAAAATAAAAGTTTCTGCTAAACTATACTAAGAAACACTTCCAGCATCTCTGATCTAAATTTTCCCAGGGGGCTACTTCGCCCCACTTCGAGAGGGCCTTCACTGTAATGGAGAGGCCTCCTCCACTGCCCAGAGCCACAGTCCAGTCTTGTTAATCAGATCCCTCTAATTTGGCGTGATAAGCTGATGCTCATCTTTGCACTGTCTTTGAATAAAAGTTATGCCAAGAAAATTAGCAGCCAACGTTCAGGATGTATTTATTTAGCCCGTTCAGTAAAACAGCCCTGATTCTTTCCAGGAGGGCTATCTTTCCAAACCTGAGACGAGTTCATTTCTGATTTGTTTTATAAAAACACGAAGCATAATTAAGGACACTAAAATTTATTTAAATTCCAATCACTGAGAGGTTATTTTCACTTATTTTTTTGTTACTCTACTTTGTTTCACAAAGAATTTGTAAAAAAGAGGAAACTAATGAAAATAAAGTAAAGATTTAGGATCGGAGAAAATATTAATAAAAATTTAAGGAAAGAAGGACATATGTTTGTTGTCCATAAGGGGTTTATAATAAAGTTTAAATTTCGCCAATTTAACTACCAGTCACAATGAAAATGAAACAAAGTCATGATTTTTATTGGAAAGGCGCATTTGGGTTCCTCCTAACAAATCAAACTCTAAAAGGGATTTCTTCTAGAAATAGTCTTCAAAGGTGCCAAGTGATGCAGGGAACAAAACGCATGGCCAGCTTTCAGCGAGTGCATGAAGACGACCATGGCAGGCACCATTTCCATGGTTTTTTTTTTTTCCTTTAATCCTACTTTGTAATTTCTCCTTTTATTTTATATATTCTCATAAGCTGCCTTAAATTCCTCCTAAGGAGGGCAAAGAATGAACAAATTTTTTAATAATTTATTTGTGTTTGCTTGTTTGTTTATAACACACAATTTCTTCAAGACCTATTGTGTGTAAAGATATCTGCCCCTTTACCAGGCCTCCAATTGCTGTTTTTGTCTCATTGTATCTGCTTTTTAAAAATAGTCGATCTCCTCTCTAATGGCCCCTGCCTCTTTGCTGTTTTTAAGCTCCTATAAATTTAGTAACCAAATAATCAAACTTGTCAGACTATGTAGAAAATGAGAGCAAATAGGCTCTTTTGATCAAAAACAAACCAAACATGGGATAGTTTCAAAAGAAAATGCGTAAAATGCATTGTTTGACAGCATCTATTCTGTCGACTCGGGGTTCAGTGGGGTTTTTCACTTACTTCCTAGTATTCAACTTTAATCGCTACTTTCCAGATTGTGATGTATTTCTGCAATATTAAATATTATTTGTCCTGTAAATTGTAAAATGTGGAAACGATATTCAGGCTACTAAAATTTAAACATATGTTGGTAATTTACCAAAAACGAAACAAGTATAAAGAAAACCACAACTAGCACAATGAGTTTTCACACAATGTCCCCCACGCAACAGTACACGTCTCGAGGGGAACGGAAACGTGGAAGGGCAAAAACTATCCCTAACTGTCCCTGAGCAGTCCCTGCCCATAGTCTAATCGAGTGTTTTAAAATGCAAATTAGTAACTATGACACTATTTGGATAAATTGGTAATCCATGCAAATAAATTCACTTTATCATTACATTTTTTACAAAATCTATCTCATCCTTACCTATTAATATTTAAGTTCAGCCCAAGAGAATGGGGAGAACTTTTCACATCGGATTCTACAGAAGAGGAAGTTTTTTGTAAGGATTTCACCAAGTCAAAATCTTCCATAGTGTGCAGAAATTGTTACGCTCTCTTATTTGAAAATGTTGGTTCTTTCACTGTTTGAAGAAACTGAATCCGAGTCATCTTCAGATGCTTCATCGTCTACAGGCATTTTCAGCTGCTAACATTCAGAACTGTGAAAGATCCTAAGCTCCCAAGAGTCTGGAAATGAATGGGGAAAAAAAAAATACTACTATAAAAAGTCACTAGACCTAGCTATTGTCTTTTCATGACATTGGAAATCTTGATCCTTTATACAAAACTACATTAAGGAAAGCAGCACTGTTCACAATAGCTAAAATGAGGAACAATCATAATGTCCACCAACTAATGAATGGATAAACAAATTGTGGTATAGCTTTATAATGGAATCTTTTTCAGCCATCGAAAGGAATGAAGCCCTGATCCTTGCTACAATGTGCATGAACGCTGAAAACATAATGCTAAGGAAAGCTCGGTAGAAGACTACATATTGTATGATTTCAATTACACAAAATATCTAGAATAGTCAAATCTACACAGACAGAAAGTGGATTAATGGCTGCCAGGAGCTGGGGGAAGGAGAGAATGGGAGTGACTGAAATGGGTACGGGGTGTCTTCTTGGGGTGATGAAAAGTTCTGGAATTAGATAGTGGTGATGCCTGCACAACTCTGTGAATATACCAAAAACCAATGAATTGGTTTTAAAATTTTAAAAGATAAATGTTATGGTATGTGGATTATATCTCAATAAAAAAAACCTACAGTAAGAGTTATCTGCAAAATAGCATCTTTTCCAGGAAATATTTCAGAATTGTATGTGTTTAATAGTCAAGGTTCTAAACACAATGCTATGTAACAATTGGAATACTTACATGCTTTGTTCATTTGTTTAATAAATTCTACCCAGTATCCATGCTTGTTGATTTTTACTGTGAATAGATGAATGGGAACTGCTTAGTATTTAATTTGGTATTGAAAACAGCCAATTAAACTGTTAACAATGGTTGTTTCACACTGGCTGGAAGGTGGGGGTGGAAGAGATGCATTTCACGCTACATAGCCTGATGTACTCTATGCATGTATTACTTCTTAAAAAATAAACTACTGGCCAGATCAACTAAAATTTAACTAACACTAGGTATACAGAGGCAAACTGGCCAAACGATATGCCTCCTTCTTAGAGAACTCATGTATTTAAACAACGTGAGGGAGCAAGAGAAAAAAAACCTATGGGGCTTACAAAATGGAAAGTTTAGAGGGTGCGATAAAGGAAAATTATCTAATATTCTGGTTCCTCCAAGTTGCCACTTCCTAGGGCCTGGCTTTACAGAGCACGGTCTTAAAAACATCATCTTACATAGGAACCATGTCCTTCAGGGACAGGCGTGAAAGCCAAGGGTAACTGGACATAACTCAATGGGTTTCTCTCCATTGGCTTCAAGCCCATCGCCAACGACAAACGGGGTACTGCAAGTCAGGGGATGCACCTTCCAACTGGCAACGAAAATACCTGGATTCAAATCACCTTGCTCTACTACCAGAAAAACACAAGCCCTCCAGGGACGCGGATCTGCAACCCATCTATTATTTCCCCGTTGAGGTGATCCGGACGCAGTAGATCCAGATGAAAAGCCACTTGAAGTGCAGTGATGCTTCTCCGGGGGGTGGGGGTGGGGGGGTCGAGAATACCCGATATACAATGCAAACATTATTTTGGAAAAAAAAAATCATGGAGAATGGGTAGGAGACATTTTTATATTTCATAGCCACAAAATGTGACGCTTTAGGTCCCCCCCAACCCCTAGCAAAAAAAGGGAGTTGGGAGAAAGTGATCGGGGTCTGCTGATAATAAAGAAAACGTGCAGTTTTGCTTTGCTGGAAGATTGAAAGGGTAAGGGATGATTTCAGAGGTTTTGAGGCCAGATCCTGACATCCTCGCGCTCACAGCCAGACCGCAATTGCTGGCGCGGGCTTTCGGGTCAAAGTGGGAAGAACAAGGGAGAACCTATGCAGTCGCCCAAACTGTAGACAGCACGGAGGCGAGGGGAACACACGACCGCCGGAAGAGCTACATTCGCGACTCCCAAAGTAAGTCGAAGCAGCTGGCCAAAAAGAAAAAGAGAAATCCCACATCCTCCCCCGCCCCTCGGGAAGACGCGCTCTGCGATTGGGCCGCGCGGGTGCCACTCAAGGGCACTGAATCTAGAAAAGGCGCACGGCTGCAGGCGAAGCCCCCACACGCCCGAGGGCTGTGGGAGGGAGGGTGGTGGCGGGTGGCCGCCGTCTTCCTAAGCGGCCTTCCGCCCTAAGCCCAGGAGCATACGCAGGGCTCCGCCAAGACCGTGTCTTCTAAGTCTCGGCCCCCGTCCCCCACGACCGGCAGCTCGGCCGCTTACCTGGCCGCCGCTCCCACGGCCGATTCAATTCAGGGTCGGGCGAGCTCCTCTCGCGACCGTTAAACTCCAGGGACCGTGCGCGCGCCCGGCGTCTGGCCGGCGATTGGCTGCTCGGAAGGGGGCGGAGACGGCCGCGCCGCGGCGCGCGCGTCGACCTCCCCCTTCCCTTCCCGCAGTTATGTGCAGAAGAGGGCGGTCCGACGCCTGGGAACCGGGAGGAGGCGGGGCTGCTGTCAGGTCCTCTCGTCTGATTGGCTCTCTGGGTGCTACGTGCGAAGGAGACCTCAGCTTCCCGCATGCGCAGTTGCTAAGAATGAGCCTCGCGCTGGTGAGGGAAGCCACGACGGGAGTACGGCGCGTGCGCAGAGTCGAGATCGCGATCGCGATCGCGATCCGTCTAATGCGGTGGTTCTGGTTCCCCCAGGTCTTTGGGGGCGGAGGCCAAACCTGGGGTCAGGTAAGTGTCCGCGGAGAAAGCAGGCACCCACTTGGTTGCCCACGATTGTCAAGGGCTGTGTAGAGAGGGCTAGGAACCCGGACGCCTTGAGTTTCTTGGTTTGCGACCATGAGTCGCGTAACCAGTTGACCTGAGGCCCTGCTGGCTTGGAGGTGAAGTCGGTTCGGACTCCCGAACTAAGTTTTCCCTGGACCTGGTTTACCCTAGGCTGCTATGGGTCGGCCCTGGGGTTCTTCAAGGACTTGAAGGGGCGACGGGGAGGAAAGCCCACCACCCTGGAAATAACAGTGCCACCAAGGCCCATGGACAAATGGAACGATCTTCATTCACTTGTTCAGCAGAGCCTAGTGTTGCGCTTAGCATGCATCAAGGCTGTTTCCGGCCTCGCATGTTGTCGGTGTCAGCTTTGCTCTTGCCAGATCTTTCGAAGGACCAGAAATACCGCGTCTCTCCCTGTGGGCCCTCAGGCAATCTCATTCTCACTGTTCAGTCCACATTCTTCAGACTAGTTAACTCTGAAGTTACTTCCAGCTCTTAGATTTCCCTCCAGGTGTCTGAGCCCACAGGAAAGGGGCTTTGCCTATCACTTAGATGTGCCTGAGAAGCCAGGACGCAGATGTATTTGCCCTTGGAATATCAAATCTGCCAGGAGTTATTTCATCTCATCTGAGCCTCCTAAGAATTCCCAACAATTATGTTTCAACAGTAAAAATTCCATCTCTACCCCAAACCCTCCCGTGTATGGAAGATTTCAAGCTTAAACAAATTGAACCCACCCACCCCAAATTGTGTTACACTACCAGTCGATATTATGCTCATATAACATCTATGCAAAAATCAAATTATTTTTAAATACATGGCTCTGATTTAGGCGAACGTATTTCAAATCCACACAAAAAAAAAAAAACTGGCAGTTTTATCACTAGTTTTAATCACAAAATCTGTTATTTGAGACAGTGTAGAATCTCGCACTCACAGAAGAATTAAGAAATGTGAATTCCTGAGATAGCTCAACAGAAAGAGGTATTTCCTTACAAGAAAAATACTAACCCCAAAGTGAGTAATACTAGATTAGTTCCTAACTGTGCAAGAGGCAGAGGATCATCACTTTGGCTAAAAACTCAGATGAACTCTGATCAGTCTGAGAGTGTCTGTTTTGTTTTTTGTTGTTGGCAGTGTGATTTTAGGTAGCTTTTTTTTTTTTATCTATTAATGTTAATTAGAATTCTGGTATTCTGATTAGCCCTATTATCTTGTTAACCAACAGATGCAGTGAAATATTTTGGCAAAGTTGCTCACAACATATGTCTTAATTTAGGTGAAGCTCTTCAGGAGGGTCTTAATTTTAAAAACTTCAGAGTGGAAATTGCCTTTAATAACTAATTGGACTGGAGAGAAATGCCTTTTTCAAAGCTTTATAAACAGCTAAAAAGGTAGTTTTTAGAGCCCATAGAAATTACTTATGAACATAGAAGAGACATAGAAAGCTTCAGAAATTCCAGTAAATGTATTAAGTATAACTGTTCATCTAGTGGCCGCTAATGACTTGAGAAATCTTATGTTTGTTAACCAGGATGTTACTTTGTGTCACTGATTTTTATATACAAATAGTTTGTCACGGGGAGAGAGAACAGTTCTCCACAGCAAAAGACAAGGAAGTCTAAAACTTTCCATCTATAGTTTAACCATTATACATGGAAGGAAATGATCAGGTATACATTTAAATGTGAATTTTTTCACCTCTCCTGTCCTTCTGAATTTTCTTACTATGTTAGATAATTCCTATAGATCTTTATGTTTAAACCAGGACTTGCTTTGGTGAAGGTAACTTCATCTTTCCATTTGAACCTGCTGGGATGTCAAGCTGTATTCTTGGCATCATAATTTTCTCCTTGGCACCTGCTTACATAGACCACAATTATGACCTCACCAAACAGCATGTCTTTGGTAATTTCATGGTTTCCGAGTACTTCTTAAATGGGACCATACTAAGTAAAATAATTAGCAAGTCACTATTCTAGAAGCCTTTTCACTCTGAGCTCTAAAACAAAAATCCATGAAATAATCAGTTTGCAGATTGGGTTTGTGGGGCGAGACCACCATTTGTGATGCGTTAGTTAGTGGTCCCTGAGCTTTACAGTTTAGGAATCCAGAGTACTAATTGCTTTACATTTGGGGCAACATGTATAATTTTTTTCTCACCCTAGGCGGCACTACCTCCATTTTATAGATGAGGAAAAATGACCGGACTTGCACAGTGAGTAAATCACTGGGTCCCGACATGAATGCAGGTCATACTGACTACAAAGCAATCTGGCTTTTCAGGGACAAAAAGATGAGAGGGAGAGCCAAGAGGAAGTTGAAGAAAATGAGCTGACACCTTAGGGGGCTGCAGAAGAACAGATCTGGAGATATTATGAAAGGTAAAGAAACACACTGTAGAAAGGATCGATTTAGTTTAAAAAATGGACTACCTAATGTTCTTCCACGATAAATCTTCCTGAAATAACCCACGCACTGTGCGTCGCTTCTTTATTCGCATCGAATGCGATAACGTATTTGAAAGTGCTTTGAAAACATTTAAGTCCTAAACAAATACAAGGCAGTGTTATGGTAAGAGAGGCTTTGAGACTTTTCGGAGAAAATGTAGAGTGTTATTGCCACTTTTTTATGTGTTTCTGTCATTTTAATAGCGTAGGTGATAAATTATAAAGTTCCTGTTAGATGCCATAAATAGAAGACAGTCACGGTGATGCCCACAAATAGGACAGGTGTAATTCTCTGTGGATTCAAAGTTTTCTGTTTAAAAAAAAAAACTGAACAGGATGTTGGTATTGCATGAATTGAAAGCTGTTCTCCTTATCTACTTCATTAGTTGTCTCTTGAACCGAGCAGCAGTAAACCTGTTAAATTCAGAGCAGACACAGAATAGTCTCCTCTTCTTCTTGTCCCTCAAAATCAAAGATGACGTCTCTGCATTTCCTGCTCAATCTATTATGCTTGTCTTACTTGAGAAATGATTCTCTATAAACACTTCCTGTGGGTCAAAGGTGCTTTATCTTCCGTGTAAACCCCACACCTCGGAAAGGACGCAGTCTGGTTCGAGCCTGAGCCACACTGGTTCCATTCAGGGAGGTGTCCAGCCCTCATCAGCATGTCAGGCAACTAGAACGGAGTGAGCCGGATGTGAAAGGTAGAGAAAGGCACCACTGTGAATGAATGATTATTAAGCATTTCTCAGAAAATCATTCTCCTCTCGCTTAGCTTCTGGTGCCATCAGCTGGCCATTTTGTCTTTTTAAAGCTGCAGCATCGCGCATCAGTCTGTTCATGCTCTCTGTGTTTGGTCCTTCGCCATTGATTGGGTTGTTGTTTTGCGACCTGTCATTTTATCTCCTTATTGGGGAGGGGGAAACAAGGCAAGTATCCGTAAGCTGGGAGAACTTGTTAATTCCTGTGTTCCAGCCCAGTGCTTCTCAAACTTTGAGAGCATGCCCCTCCATCACCCGAGAATCTTCCTGAAATGCAGGTTCTCACGTAGGAGGCCTGGGGTGGGGCCTGAGAGCCTTCATTCCTCACAGGCTCCCAAGGAGAGCCGTTGCTGCTGCTCTGTGGACCTCACTCTGAGTAGAAGATTCTAGAGCTCCCCCATCCAGTGCGGTAGCACGTGTGGCTAGTCTAAACTGACATGTTGTGAGCATGAATACACCCCAGATTTTGAAGACATCATATAAAAAGCATAATTAAAATATCAATAATTTTTATATTGATTATATGTTGAAATAACATTTTGAATATAGTGAGTTAATATATTAAAATAAATATATTTTTTAAATATGTCAAAATTAATTTCATCAGTTTCTTTTTACTGTTTTTAATGTGACTACTAGAAAATTCAGAATTTCACATGCGGCTTGCATTGTACCTGTGTTGGACACTGTTCTAGAACCTTAATGCCATAGAAACCAACATTTTCAGTGTTCTGTTTCCAGATGACCCAGTTTCTCAGTCCCTTGTTATCATTGCACCTTCTCCATTAGCTCGAATCTTTTAATTCTTTTCTCTATTTTCCCTTCCCACCCATCCCTCTCCTTTGTACCTTCCCCGTCTCCACCTTTGCCGTCTGGTCCTGGGACCCTCACCCAGCACTCAGACAGTGCTGAGAACCAGGATTCCGGCGGCGTCCTTGCTCAAAGCCCATAGCCGTGACCGTCCAGGTGTGGTTCCCGAACCAGCAGCAACGGCCTCGCCCGGGAGCCGGTTAGAAATGCAGAGTCTCAGGCCCCACCGCACACCTAATGAACCAGGACCCCATCCCACAAGGCCTCCGGGGGGTTTGTCTACACCTGAAACTTGAAAACCACCTTCCCTAAGCACCCCATTTCCAGTAACCCCCTCACGTGTTCCTTTAGTTACTTGCGACGATGCTCTTGCGAGGTTGATAGGCCATGAAAGTCGTAGCTAAGAGAAGCTAGTCCTCTCCCTTCCTAAAAAAACAGTCAGACAGTGAGTTTTAGGCACATGGCTTCCAGAAGGCGCGTCCAGAGACCGGAATCCTGTGCCTTCCTGAAACTAGATTCAGATATCCTCTCTCTCAAACATGAAAGGACGGCAGTAACCAAGCCACTTCCACCCAGAGCGTTAGAGCTGTTGGTGGGACAGGCCGCACCTCACGCGTCTGGTTTCGGTCGGTGACTCTGCTCTGGTCACGGCCACAGCCCGGAGCTCCACATGCCCTCCGTGCGGCCAGGTGCCCGTCCCGGTTTGGGCCAATTGTGGAAGCCGGGGAGGGGCTGTGTGCCAGCTGGGCCCAGGTCAAGAAGACAGGCGCCCAAAGGGTGACCAGGGGGCATAGGGACGTCGGAGAACCACTGTTGTGCAGCGGGTCACCCATTCCGGGCTGTGGCCTGTATCATGTCTATGGACGTCTTAATTTCTCCTTTATGCTGCGGGCCCCTGGGGCTCCCGGAGGCCCCTGCCTGGCTCACAGTAGATGTTGAGAGTATCACTGAACAGATGAAGTTCCCTTTTGTAGAGGCCTGACAGCTGTCACCTCCGACTTGACCAAGTGGGAAGGGACTCCGACAATGAGAGGCTTTACCCCCGAAGTGCTGTCGGCTCGTTAGTGCGGGAGCCGTCATCGAGGAAAGACAGAGCTGACGGGAAGTCAGGGTGCAGAGCCAGCCCTGAACTGAAGCTCACACTCCCAGAAGGAATGGGCGCAAAGCCGCCATGACCGCTGGTCTCCCCTTACCCGCAGCCCTCATTACCATGTTTTTTCCTCTCTCAATGTCACGGACGAGCTCTAATTTGAGCCACTTTTATTGTTTCCCCAGAGACTTTGGGTGGCTCTGTGGGAATCACAAAAAACGAAATCCAATCTGTATTCTTCTCTGGGCTTTGGGGAAGTGGAGCCATGGGTGTGTGTGTCGTTTTTCAGCCGTCCTTGGAGTAGCGCCAGAGCTCCAGGAGATACTAACGGTATTTAGAATCGTCTGGTTGGCCGTTGGAATTAGCTGTCACACAAAGCAGCCTTGAACTCCAGTCGGGTGGGAGACCTTCCAGCTCTGAATTAGGACAGAAAGGTAGATCTGGAACAGCGGACTGATGGCAAAGCAGCAGATAAAAGCACCTTCCTCCCCGCCCTTTGTCCGGGGCTCGCCTGCTCTCAGACTCGCTTCCTCTCTTTGTCACCTTATCACAGGGCTGTCCCCCGGTCAGATTTACTAACCAGTGGAAGAGAAGCCCCAGGAGAGGCCCTGGGCTCCATTACGGATCTAATCCAGGGACTAGACGCTGTCTGATACACAAAGGAATTCTGTTCTGTGGGTCGAAAGCAGAAACAAGGGAAGGGAAGTTCCGGGCACCATGTCGTCTCGTGTCTCGTCCACGGAACCATTTATAGGGGAGGGGTCTTTTGTTATGGCGATTTCAGGGAAAATGCCTGGGTTTATCGTTTATCTCTTTTTCCCGAGACGACCCCTGAAATATTTCACACATGATAAACAAAACCAATTTGTAAAGTACCATTTTCATGGGCACGCTCCATTTCAAAATATACCCCTTCACAGCCATGGAGCACCTTGCGACACCACCTCAATTATCACCCTCTGAGACCGACAGAACATTCTGAACGTCAGACTTTTCACAAAGAAGACACGCGTGTGGACCAGAGTGTCACTCACAGAATTGAAAACTAGCATCAGCATAAGGCTTGGAAAGTATATTTGTTTTCCATAGAAACAGTAGGGATAGGGATGTATCGTCATTCTAAAAATGACCAGCGTCATCTCAGCAGCAGCTGTATCGATTACTAAGACAGATACCTAGATTTAAAGTAACAGAAAATGCACATATTTACCAAGAAGCAACGCCTTGGCCCGAGTGTGCGTTCGGGCTCCTCCAGGCTTACCTGGAGGCAGGTGTGGGCTCCGTCGATGTTAGCGGTCAACATGGACAGTAGGCGAAAGGTTCACGGGCTGAGAGCAATCCTGGGACATCGCAGGGTGGACGTTCATATTTGGCTTAGACGCCAGTTCTGTGTTAGAGCTGGAATTTACCATGTTTCCCATAGTGAAAGAAGCTACTTAAGCCTCCATAGGAAGACAGTAAAAAGAGCCGCATGCTTTTAGTGCCTATGTAATCCTTGATCAAGAAGCATAAAAAAGTGGCACATTCGTAGTTGCCATAATCCACTGGGTGACAAGACTGAAAACCAGTCTTGTGCCTTCGAAGTTATCAGCAAAGCCCTTTCCAGAACACTTTTCTCAGATCCTCAAGCCTGGGTCAGGTGGGTGGAGAAGGGCTGCTTCACCCATTTTCCAGGTGGGGAGACCACCCTTGGTCGTGACTCGCCCCTGTTCACACGGGGAGCGTCTTCGAAAAGAAGGAACACCTTTCGGACCCTTCTTTGTCCCTCCCACCCCTGAAAGACGTAAAGGCCTGTGGAGCAGGGGTCACCATGGCCTCACAGCTGTTCATCTTTATACCGCTCATTTGTCAGCCAAGACGTTTCAGCCTCGCGCTACCTCTCCAGCAGTTACTTAAGTCTTACTGTTAAATACCGCTTTCCTCTGCCTGTCTCTTCTCCGACCAGACTGCGGGGTCCCCGAAGACAGAGTCTAGCTCTTTTTCGCCTCGTGTCTCTCTCTAGACCTCACGTGGTACTTTGAACCTCACAGGCACCTTAATAATAAAAATCGGTCGGTTCGGCAGTTCTAACGACAAGTTCCAGTTGGAGCATGTTGTTGGCAGTGCGTCTGAGGGAACAGATGTTCCTGTTCAAACCCATGAAACTGGAAACATTAAAATACAACAATCATGACATTGATTGATAGTGATATTTACTATGTCAGACTGTTTAAGCCCAGCTATAAAACAGACGATCGCATACTGTCGTCTCTGTGTCTTGGTTTCAAAGATTCTCCCACGTTTAAATAATGTCACTTGACCCTAATTTCTGCTCGATGTACTATTTAATATTTCTTTATCAAATTACAGCCCTGTTCTTCTGAATTTCACACTCGAAACCTCTCCTTCCTGAGAAAACAGCACCTCGGGGGTGCGTTGAAGATATTTTTGCTCTAAGAAAATATTTGTCAGCCGGCAGGGCCTGTACTGCTGGAACCCCCCAACCGATGGCAGGCCGGAGACGTGTGCGTGGCCAGATGCGGTGTCTCCACTCCCCAGCACGAGCGGACATCGTCCGAAATGGCCTCTAAAGGTTGCCTCAGAGCCGGAAGTGTCCCCGAGAGCAAGCACACGTTCCCGAAAGCCCGTCTTTTTGTCTGACTCAGGTCCAGAGCAAGCAGAAGCTCTCGCCCCATGAGCGCCTCGGGCTGGTTTCGCTTTCCTGCCCCACTGGCCAGGATGTGCCCAGTGCCGCGGGGCCTCTGGCGCGTGGGGAGGCCGACACTGTCATCCCCGGGAACAGCAGTCATTCCCATCCAGGCGGCGGGCAAGAAGGACCGCCCTGCTCTGCTTGCCCTGGACGAGAGCGAACTTGAAGAGCAGTTTGTGAAAGGACATGGTCCTGGGGGCCAGGCCACCAACAAAACCAGCAACTGCGTGGTGCTGAAGCACATCCCCTCCGGCCTCGTCGTCAAGGTAGAGAAGCTTGGGGTGGGGGGAGCGTGGTCCCCTGAGTCACAGGTTTTAAATGGCTTAGATGGCTCCTGAGTGAAAGTGATGGTTGGCTGAAACGTTCACTTCGGCCCGGGCACTAGAGGGCGCTGCACGCCCCGTCCCTGCCCACACCGTTGGTGAGGCAGAGCCTTCCGTGCCCACGAGCCTCCTTCCAGGGTCCTCTGGAGCCAGGTCTGGCCGCCCTGGAGTTGGGCAGCCTGCCAGGGCACTGCCGTGGGTGCCCAGCCGTGGGTGCCCAGCCCGAGCGAGCAGCAAGCAGGCAGGACTGTCCGCTGGCAGCCTCAGCCGTCAGTGACCGGCTGATTAACTGGGATGGCCACATCCTCCATGTCCCTTTGGTAAATGTCAATGACACCTACCTTCTGAGCCTGAGACCGTTTTCAGCCCTCGGAAGCTGTGCACCGCTGCCTGCGGAAGTTCCTGCTTCGTGTAAAAATCCAGTGTCTGAACAGAGCGCCACCAGCTTTCAGCACATCCGAGCCTCTGGGACAGGGCAGAGCGCCTTCCCCTGCCGCCTGCTGTGCTGGCAGTGGCCCCAGCGCCTCTGCGGCCGGACCGTCCGTCCAGGCTGTACCCTGAGCGGCCGGAGGAGCACGAGCCTGCGGCGCAGCGGAGAGCAGGCGAAGGGGTCCCTCGCGTACC